TTCAAGCCTTTCTTGGCTGAATACTGTGGCAACAAGCTAGACAAATAAATAACCAACCATCTTCCTTTTCCCTTGGATTATCTCTGTCTACTGCGATTGATTCGGCTATTGCCTCTCTTAGGGCAGGAACAGAGATGGAATCGACTCTATGTCCGAGATTTTTGTTCAATACACATAAGGGCAAAGATCTAAAAGCCTAGAGTTTAGGCAGAAAACCTCTCCAGTTTCCCGTTTTACCTTGTCCAGCATGGCATCTCCACACTCCTTCAGGATGATCTTCATCCACAGTCCAGCTGCCATGGCACAGGTGGGGCTGGCAGACAACATACCACCCAATGTGGCCTTAATAAAGTCTGTGGCCTGTTCTGAGGGAAAGTACTCACTAACAACCTGGGAACAAATCAAAAACAGGAGAGACTGCAATGATGTCTGGCTTTTTAAAAATGGAGGCCTAATATCTCTATGAAAAGACAGATGCATCAACAAATTGTTAATTAGCCTCGTGTCTAGCGAGCCATTTGGGATTACAATTCTCTCTACAGTCTATAGACGACATTTTGGTATTCTACACTAATGATATCAGGTTAGAGACAAAGCCTCTGTTGCACAGTTACACAACATTGTACTGGATATGCAGGAGGTGAGTTTCCAGTTTGTGTTCTCTGATATACACTGCTTCTTTTTACAACTTATAAGATGAAGTAAAGAGAGTCATGCCCACAACTATAGGCTCAGGCAAACCCACAAAGTGACAGAATGAAGACTGGGTGGTTTCTCAGCTTGATGTTCCACTAACACAGTTTTTTCTCATGGATGGCTGGATAGGTACATGTGTGCGCAGCTGCGTGTGTATTTTCATGTGTGCGCAACATTCTGTGGAATCTGGTTTTTACATGGCATTCATAGCACACGTCTATGAAAAGCATCTTGCTGGTTACTAGCAATGAATGCCCCGCTCCCACAGCTCACCCCAAGTACGGAAAGGCATCAGAAAAGCGTAAATGTAAAATGAATAGTGCCCCGTCACTAGAACATCCGCACAAGCTTTTTGAGTCAGTTACCCTGGCCATTTTGGAAGATGCCTGAAACAGAGCCTCAGGGTCTGGAGCTGTTAGTGCTTCATGGAGACATCTCAGCTCCTCTGCCGCTGACCCCAGGTTCATGGACTGGCCTGGAGTGGAGAAAAGCAGAAAAAGTACTGTACCGATTAATGAAACTGAACCTCGATTGCATGGATATTCACACAGAAGGATCCATGTGCTATGCTGTTATCAGCATAGCGTAAAATCTTGGCCCCATCAAAGTCAATGGCAAAACTCCTGTTAACTGTAATGGAGTCGGGATTACACCCTAAATGTCTGAAAGTTAATAGCAGTGGTATGTTATTGTGAATGATACAGGATTGAACAAGCACTGTATTCAGCTTGGAGCAGCTTTCTGGGTGTGTCTGGTTTCAGTAGCCTCTCTGCTCTCAGTATTTAAATCTAATCTCATAGTCAAGTACAAGTCATGCAGATAGATCTCAGGTTCCAATGTAGAGGTGAATCCCTCCACCAAACTCTCCTTGTAAAAGAGATGGGGCTGGACAAAAACTTCGGCAGGAAACCCAGGCTCATCAGTCACTTCTAAACACTGCTGGGATTTCTATCTTGTACATGCAAAGATTGGAGTCCCTTCTTCTGTTTCTGAATCACCAACACTGTTTTTTAGGACTGATTAATAATAATTGGAAATAAGGTAACCAGACGTCCCGATTTTATAGGGATAGTCCCGATCTGGGGGGTCTTTTTCTTATATAGACTCCTATTACCCCCCACCCCCTGTCCCGAGTTTTCACATTTGCTGTTTGGTCACCCTAATTGGAAATGGCCTTAAACGATAACCAAGCCCTATCCCTTTACATCTAATCATTAGGTGAAAAGAATATCCTACTCTTTCACAGAGGGGAAAATGGCCTACACTTACTCCAGTAGCTTTGAATGCTCATGACAGAGGGCTGCTGGAAGAACTTTTTGTTTAAAGAATTATTCCAGGAAACCCCTCCAATACAGCCAGTGGCAGGGTAAAGAGAATGAAAATGTTTAGTACCAAGGGCTTGTCTACATGGAGATAGTCAAGAAAACTAACCCAAATTAATTTTCAAAATGCATTAGTTAAACTTCATTAAACACCTATGGGTACACACTTATTTAGAATTAAAGGGGCCTTATTTCAGGTTAGTTTCATTCACGTAATTCACTAAAATTAATTAATTTTAATTCAGAATCAGAGCATCCACACATGTCACTTTAAATTTACACCTTTAGTTCATTTGGATTAACTTTCCTTAGTGTCCCTGTGTAGACAAGCCCTAAGGAATTTAGCAGTTATCTAC